TTTTAAACTGTATAAAAAAAATTGAAATCAATTGTGAAAATCCATTCCTTATATAGGACGTTCCCTCCTGTTATTTGTTCTACGATTGCATACACATCAACAATCCACTGTTGAAAAAGTCTTCCAAATCGATGTAGGACTACTGCTTCACCTGGCCGACCTAATTGAAGTCTGTATGCAAAATAATTCATTGCACTAACATGTTTTTTTGTAGTACTTGCCTCATCATCATCAAAGGCTATAGATTCTTTTATAGGAATGTAAGGATGCCACCCATCTTCACCTCTGGGAAACATGAGAACATAGTGCAATGGTTCATAAGCACGGTGCATTTCTGATATTCTTTGTAATCCTCCTTCATGCAATTGTAGCACAATATTTCGTTCCAATGGTTCAGCTCCAATCATAATGATTGCAACTTCCGATGCTGCTGGAGTATTGTAACGTCTAGGATCTTCTTTTCTACTATCTGTGATTACCATCTGCAAGTCCAAGGATGGATTTAATCTTACAATGTCTCCAGCTTGTCTGAACATTTCACAATATGGGTTCACATCATGTAACATTTGCTGAAGCTCCTCAAGAATAACTGGATCAAGATTAGGCATTACATTCATCCTGTTTTGCAATTCATGCTCAGTATCATACACATATATTTGAGCAAATTGAGGGCGAGCTTCATTGTCAGGAAGCATTGTGCCTATGTTATGATACATTTCTCCATGAACACGAAAGCTGTAAACACCACTTGTTCCTGTTATACTATTATCAACCTTTGCACCCATAGATGTAAAAGCCAAAGCTGAATTATATGACCTAATATTTTTCCTAAATAAACGTGCACTTGGATCTGTCCTAGTAAGAAGCACGTTGAGAGGATGTGGTAATTCCTCAATAGGAGGAAGAGAAACCTTGCCTTTGGCACAACATGTTGTAAAAATTGGTGATCGTGTAGATGTGCCTTTTTTTCTTTCATCTATCCACAACAGTGCCCCGCAACAATTGCATCTATGATTCATGCTTCCCAGAGAGTGACGGTCTAAACCTTGTGAACACCATGGATAAACACGCGCTTTTGATGTTTTTAGAAGAACAGTAGTCAGAGGAATAACTACTTCTTGCTCAGCAGTAGACATATTATTTTCTAAAAATTGCTCAAGTCCCGTAGGGCCATCTGAATCCACATTTCTTTTGTTTTTACGATAACGCCGTTGTCGTTCACGATTAAGTCTTTGTTGATGTTCTTCAGAAGTCTCATCCATAATGTCACTAACTACACCTTGCATACATACCTTCTTTTCTCCTGGGTGGTCAAGTTCCGTAGGGCCATCTGAATCCACATTTCTTTTGTTTTTGCGATAACGTTGTTGTTGTTCACGATTAAGTCTTCGTCGACGTTCATCAGAAGTCTCATTCATAGTGTTATTTCTATCCATAATTTTCTTGTGTGTTATTTTTAAATTAGTAAAATAAATTGGTAAAAAAACGCATAATATATGAAATTTTATTGTGGAAATTAGGAATAGTCACGAAAAGTATTCAAATGCGTAACATACGAAATTTTATTGTAGAAATTTTATTGTGATATATACATTTGCACCATTACACATTTTAAAAATTATTATTTACATGTGGTAGTCTAAAAGTTACGCATTACAACATATTTATTTACGTGTGTGATGATACAATAATAGATAGATTACATGTGGTAGTCTAAAAGTTACGCATCACAACATATTTGGGTTCCATGCTAACAAAAAGATAGTTCGGGAAAAAATGGGGTTTTTGAGAAATCAGCTGATTTTGTTTTTCACTA